CCCTGCCCTCACCGCTCCTCAACCCCCCCCCCCCCTTTTTTTTTCCCATTACGTAGGATCACTATCAGTTCACCCTCCAACCAATATTTGAGGTTGTTTTTGAGCCTTGAAAATGCCTCACCTGACCTCAGTCTCCCCTCCAAAATATATTCACCTTCCCCCTTAGTATGACAGGCTTGTATGTACAAAATGTTAAAAAAGAGAGAAGCAAGATGTCTTTTTTGCACTAGTGTGAAAGAAGAATGTTTTTATTTTGGATGATTTTAGAACCCCTCTAAACAACTTTATAAGCATTAGGTGTAACATTCACCAGACTTGATGGGCCCTGTTGTACCCTCCACCCTTCCTTTAACAGAAAAGGGTTGTGATGACCTTTTTCTTGCATCACTCATTCCTGCCTCCCGCCCCTGAGACCGAATCCGCTGAACCCCTTCCCTTCTCATCACACGTCACTCAACTGTGAACATGGGATGAACAAAAAGGCCCCTTCTCTGGTTTTCTGAAATATTAATGACATCAAGTAGTTACCCAAAGTTTCTCTCTGTCCTTGGTTTGAGGAAGAGTTGTCCTTTTTTTAAAATTGATTTTATGCATTCTTGATGCAGCTCCTGCATTTTTTTTTAAGGGGGGTTGGCAACACGAGGTAAAAACTTGAAAGACAGACGTTGGTTTATTGTTGGTTGGCTATGTTTTTTAAATTCTATTTTAAATTTTAGCTTTTTTCCTAGGGTTTTTTTATTTGCGAGAAGTCTTCTGTGCATTTTTTATTTTTGTCATTGTGGACGTTTCTGTTCATTGGTGGATGTGAGAGGGGGCAGAGCTACAGTTCCTTGACCTGTGAAAGGTCACCGCTCACCTCACTTCCTGGTAGTATGGAGGGATCCCTCCTTCGCTAGCAAGTGAAAACTGTGCCTGATACTTAGCGAGGAGATCCATTTTATTGGTGCTGTTGATTATAATTACTGTATAACATCGCAAATATACATTTGTGCAAAAATGCATTACGTTTAGTTGGCGTTAATTTGAGGCTTCAAGTGTGGGTGGCCACCTAGCTACTGTTTTTACATGGAATTATTATTTGCCTTTTTTTTTTTTTTACTTTTGTTGGTTTGATGTGTTATCTCAAGTAGAGCCACTAGTCAAAGAGTGTAAAATGTGAAATGTCAAATCCAATTTTTTTTCCTTGGCCTTTGGGTTTTGTTTTGTTTTGTTTGACTTTTGCATTGTTTTCCCTTTGAGATATGAGTCATTTTTAATCCAACACAAACAGAATAACTTTTTTTGTACATAATCCTGTAAATTTCTTTCGATACCTGAGCCTTTTTCTGGGGTTAAGGAAGAAAGACGGAACGAAAGGAAGGAACAGAGAAGAGAGAAGTTGTTCCAGAGGAGTGTTTGATGAAGAAAAAGCCTTACATTTCCCTTTCTTCATCCATGTAGGTTTGATGCTTACAGGGTTGCTCTGGTAAACGTGTATAAAAATTTTAAGTGCTGCTTATATCACTAAGAAAGAAGATATTGAGTAGCCAATGACTGCCCCCCAACCTAGTTTTGTTTGTTTAGCTTTACTTTTTTAAAGAAAAGGGAAAAAAGATATGTTCACTAAAAAATGGGTTTTTACATTTTCATTACTGAAAAGTCAACAAAAATGTAGTAGCTACTCATGTTGCACTGAGCTTGCCAGTGGTGACTGTCAAGGAAAATCCTATAATCCAATTTGTTGGTCGTTGTCCCTCGCAGCAGACTGAACTGTTTTAGGACTATTTAATGAAATACCAAGTTGGGTGTTTTCAACATAAAAAAAAGTGGTTGTCAAGTTTTTATGGCCGTACAATATATTTTATTCTGAGGGGATCTGTTTTTTCTGTTCTTTTATTGTTTATTTCTTCCATTTTCTATAAACTACTTGCTCACAGTGGGGTTTCTGGTGACTTAATTTATTAGTGCCGCATCTTGGCCTTTCCCTCCACTCGGAAAGAGTCATGTTGGTTATATTGACTGTTTTTTACTTTTGCAGTTTGTACTTAAGGTTTAATAAAAACTTACTGACAATTCACTGTCATTTCTTTCTAACCTGCTTGTCTCTCTCTTTGTGTGCACACTTTTTACATGGCATCAAAAATAATTGGTTTCATAATTTAGATTTCAAGTTCTTTGGTCATTTAAGCCAAATTACAAGATTGTTTTCTCACTTACCTCTTGTGAGTGTGATTAGCCAATTAACTGATGACAGACGGTTCATTTTGATAATTTTTTTTTTAAGATAATGTAAATATTTGCAGGATTTCTCAAGGTTATTTTACAGTAAATACAGCAATTTGAAGGCATCACCTGGGAGCTGGTGATGGACTTTTTCTTTTATTGCTTGTTATAAACCGATCAACTGAAAAATAATCATTAGCATCAGTCCTAATTTAGCCATGCACGCAATCCACAATCTCACTGCAAACTTTATTGGAACTATTTATTTGGGGAAAAGTTGTTCCAAAGAATCCATTCTCTATGAGCAAAAAATGCAAACGGGCCACGCTGTGAGCAGCATGCCAGTTCTCCTATGCTCTCCTATATTCCTTTGACCCAGAGCTTATCACTATTTTACACTCGAACATCGGAGGGCCCTGCGGTTCTTTACAACCTTAATTAAAGTGCCCTGGATTGGCTGTCACGCATCATCACCAGCTATTTACTGTGCAGTGAACAAGCACATCTACTCTTAGCCCTCAAATGCAATTTACTCTCAGCCTGTCACTAATATTGCTTTTCTTATTTTTCAGGGAAAAAAGCAGGATATTCTCCTCCAAAGAAAGCAGTTGCACTCTCCCTCCTGCACAATACTCTGTATCCCCTCACCGTGTCAGCTTTCCGTTTGCAAAGAGCTCAGGCATGAGTGTTAAACCATGAGTGAGCTCACGGGGACTGTTAACATGCTCAGACCCTTCCAAATCCTGCACACATTTTATTCTTTAACTCACTCCGGCAAGGCTACGTTGAGAATTAAACAGTTCTGAGGGAGAAACATTTATTACCAACAAGTCAGAAATTGTAGGCGAGGGAAAACAAGGAATGGGCAATGCTGTCACATCGAACAAATGTTAACATTTCTATACAAAAAAAACAACATTTAAAATGGTTCCTCAGTGCATAACACACAGTCCAAACAGGGATTTGGTCCTTGTTTCTAAAGGATAGGTTCACCGAACTATGAATGATGACAAAGGGTAACGCTCCTGTGGGTCTGTTGTGTGTTAAATTGCCTCCTGGTACCTTAACTCCACCATCAGCTATACAGTACTATGTGCATAAATAAAGCCACTGCCAGGTGACCGCCAGTTATTATGCCATTTTCATCAAAGCTAATGATGATTTACATTTAAATTAAACTGACCAGGCACTTTATTAGGTACACCTGTACAATTGTATGCAGTTCAATGCAACACTGAAAAATATTTTTGTTTTTGAAACTGGCATAAATGTATAAATTCAATTATATGTTTACTATCAAGGTCCTAGGTGGTGTTGTATTGGACTACTACTATTATATGTAGAGGTGTCTCTGTATATTGTCCTCTCCAGCTACATACATGAGAGGGTTAGAATAATTAGGAACATCTCTGAATATAATGTACGTGTTGCATTGAATTGCATACAATTGTACAGGTGTACTTAATAAAGTGACCAGTAAGCATATATCTCATAGGACCGCAACAAGCTTTGGGTATACAGCTTATCTATAATGTGAAAAATTCATTCATCTGCCCCCTGCAGCTCATTTGTCAAGTGCTCTGTGCTGACTGTTTAGCATTTATTATATGAAAAGAGTCGATTCACCCAAATTACAAAAGGCAATTCCAGTCAGGTATTGTAAGCAAGAAATAGTTCTTGCAGCAAGTTTTAAAAACAAGATGTCATAAACCTTCCAGATCCGGTGGCAGCCTCTTAATATTGGCAAGTATTTGGTAGTTCTAACCTCCATCATACATGTATAATAATGCAGCAGTTTCAACGATGACCTACGTTTGTCATAATGCACAACAGCTGCAGTATGTCAGGGCAGTGAATGCAAAGGTATTAGCACGGAGCATAAAATGCAATGACCTCGGAGGGACGTGAATGGTTTTAGTGTGTACTTCCTCACTCTGGCCTCTCCTGGTCTCAGAATATTTGGGCATTCTCTACATAATGTCAAACTATTAATGTGCATGTTAACTTGTTGAATGTTTTATGTTAATGGAAAATTAAATATTTTATAGGATTCAATTAAAACTGAAAACTAGGTGGTCTTTTAAGGCAAGGTCATGTGGCAGTTAGTGCAACCTCAGTGTACTTTCTTCTAAACGTTTTCCTTTGATATCAAATGAATTTGGAAAGGAAGTCGATATTGTTACGTATCTGATTTGGCAGCTCTGTATGTTTGTGTTTAAATCCAGTATAGCTCTCCTCAAACCTTTGGCTTGCTCCCCTCACAGTCTTTGCTGGTCTGGTCCACTCGGCCCACCCTGTCCACCAATGCTGTATCGGGGTGTACCTCCTCTTCATCCGGGGTCACCACCACAGGGGGCCTTCTCCTCCTTCCTCCTCCCCTGGATCCCACAACACCACCGCCTCCTTGCTCAGTCTCCTCCTCCTTGTCCTCCTCCCCAGCCTCTGTGTCCTGGCTGGCCGAGTCGGTGCAGGTGGATGATAGGGAAGAAAGCTTGTGTCGTAGCTCAGCCTGGGTGGGAACCTGGAGACTAATCTCTGTGGTGAAGGACTCAGCATCGGGACCTGAAATAGAAAGGAGTCTTGGATAATATCAGACTTCCCATTGGAAAAAAAATTTAATAATTTAATATGAAAGTTCAGTAAATGTTGTGTGCATTATTATGGCTTGAACTAATTTCACGTTTGTGATTGTTGTCCCATGGGTTTTTGTGTCTACGTACCTGCGACAGGGGAAGCAGCACTGTTGTCCTCTCCCCCAGAGTGCAGAAACACATCCATGGCCTCGTGGTCAGACATGTCCATCAGGTCCATCTGCTCCAGCATGTCTACATTCACCTCCATGGATGACATGCTTCCTAATGGCTCTGGGTACAACACAGGACAACAAGACATTAGCCTCACACAAGACTGAAGCAGCAGCAAGGGGCTGAGTCCAGGAAGGTAGACGCTTTATATTCATCATCATGGTAATTTCTTTTCTATTTTGTCCACATGATTAAAAACCCAGCATTTTTATAAAAAATAAAAGAAAAAAAAAAGGTGAATCAACAACACTTAGCCAATTTCTTTTCTTCTTAATGTCTCTATTGATGTTCTATGTGAATGTGGATGAACCAGCAATCTAGCATGTTGTTTTATAAGCAGTATACAACAAAACCACTGGATCCTCCTCTTAGACACAGGCTAAAATGTTAACCACTACAGTCCTGGATTCACCTCCTAGCAGGGGTACAAACTGCTCTGTTCACCACTGCGGGGATGAAGGGGGAGGGAAAAGTTGCAAGCACAAGAGAAAGAGGGGAAATGGTTGGTCAGTGCACAGCAGTGAGAAAAACATATCATTGGCTACTGTACCTCAAGGAAATGAGGATAGCAGAGGAGGGCGGCACAGGGAGGGAGAGCAGTGTACGTGAAGAAAGAGAAAAAGAAAGGGAATGTTATTTCCCATGGAGACTGGCCCAAAAACCTCCCTGTCTTCAGATTAGCAACACACACACACACACACACACACACACACACACACACTGTAGCCTCTCAAATGACTGCCATGTTTTCAGACTTTGGCATGAATGTCCACATATGAACTGATTCTAAATGCATAAACACAAAAATGTGAAGGAATGAAATATACACATATATAAAAATGAAAAATGAGAAGATAAGATCCGAGTCACTTGGAAGGTTAAAAAAAAAAACTGAAAACAAACAAACAAACAAATCAGATTTGAGTCAATTCAGTAGGTAATGTAATTAATATGTTGTGTAAGTCTTGGTCCAGAAGGCACTGAGAACATCATTTCCATGAGCCGGCCTCTATCATATTCTTCTTTTAGCCCCACTGCCATCTTGCCTAAGAGATCCCCCCACTGGGAAGAACTGCTTTTGTACGTGTTTTGTTAGACTGACATCCATGGCCCTTTCCCCCTTTCCTCGTCTGTGTGTCCAGCTGTATCTTCAGCCCTATGTGGCACCACCCTGCTGTAGAGGTTTGCAGCTGCTGAGGACAATGAGTCAGTGAGCTGAGTGTTATTCAGCTTTCAGTGTTGCCTTATTTTCAGATGTTTTTCAGCAGAATGATTATTTAAGCATCTTTTAAAATTGATTACAAATTGATTACTCTTATAGCAGTTATGACCAACTGATTCAAATTCATCTGTGGTGAATTTTTGTCTAGCATCCCACGTTTGCCTGTAGCCGTTCCTCAGGTTTGAATCAGGGTTGCGTCAGGAAGGGCATCCGGCGTAAAACACGTGCCAAAGGTCAACATGCGAGTCGTCAGTGTGACGATTCACTGTGGCGACCCCTAAAACGGGAAAAATCTGAAAGTGACTTTCTATCCCACATGTTTTCCTGTGTACTGTGAAACACATTGGCTGAAATCTAAATATAAGCATCTCCACCGTCTTCCATGAATGATGGGGGCTATACATGATTCTGACGAGTCTGCGGATAATGGGTTGTCTATATTTCGCTCACTGCATCTCCATCCTTGCTTTGGTGATGGTTTTGCCATGGAGGTTCATGATTACAAAAGGCACTGCAACACAAATGCATTGATGAAAAACCATTTGGAGTGACAGTAAAAAGATAAGTCTCTTATATTCTCTCTGGTCCTTAAGTCTCTCCATCTCTCTGACTTCCTTACTGCTCCACAATCCTATCTAATAAGCTATTGCCAGAGGATTATGGGAGGAGGGTGGATGAGTAAAAAAAACAAGAATAAGAAAAAAAAAAAATCACATTAAAAATGCTGGGCCAGTAGAGTCCAATTCATTGTCCAGTGTAGGGTGTATATCTCGTGCAGTGCATTCTTGGGGTATTTTAGCACAGACTTTTGACAGTAATACATGTCGTAAACTGCAGCAGGCTTCAATTACAATCCCAGTGGAAGACTCCATTTATACAATGTGGTGGCATTTTTCAAAATAATGGCTCTATTTGTGTGTTTAGCGGCAGGAGTGTGGAACCTCACCGCAGAAAGCTATTATGGCTTAATCATGAGATATGCAATGTGAAGGTTTCAGCTGATGGTAGCAAGACTCATTTAAATGCTGGATGGCTTTGCATTCATCCTCGAATGCAGGCATCAGACCACATGAAATGATCAATTTCAAGCTGTTTGACTATCATCTGAGAGCATGACTAGGATCTCGGCTCCACCGTCTCACCTCTCCTCTCGGCGATCTGCAGGTAGCCAGTAGAGAGGTACTGCTCCATGTCTTGTTGAAAGGCCTCCTCAAAGAACTTCTGCTTCTCTTTCAGCTTGACCTGGGGGGGTGGGACCCCTCCCTGTTCTGCCCCAGGAACTCTCTGTGGGTGTTCTGCATCTAGTTCCACTAGAAGCAGACAAAAACGTTTTAGGTGAAATAATGTAACTTCTCTGCCAGTAGTGATATTTACAAGATAAAGGGTATGCAGGGTAATGCAGTGGGATAAGGATAAGGATAAGACAGCAGCTCAAAAGGACAAGCATCATAAAATCAATTTACTGACTCAGTAATGTTGATCATACAGCAATATTTACCTCAAGTCACAACAAGCTTGTGATCATACCAAACAAAGTAAGGCTGTAGTAGTAAAATCCAAGGGTAGGGGATTGAGCAACAGTCTGTTTTGTTACTGTTTTTGCCACAGTGTTGCTTTAAAATCAAAGCTGGCAATTGCACTCAGATCACAAACCACCATTTAAACAGAACAATTCCTATGAACGCTCGTTACATTTGGCATCAAACCTGCAATAAATTTATATTTGTCTAAAAGTTGCATTTAGCTAATTTAATCTTGTGCAAAGTTCTTTCTAGGACCAAAATGCTGATCGAATGCACTGTGATCTGAAACTAATGCCTCCTAAATTAGACAGGAGAAAACCCAAACTCATCCTTCACAGGCCAGAGCCCATCTTTACTAAACCAGAACAATGTCAAGCTCAGTGCTCCACAGGATTCACATATCCTGATTTACCTGCTCCTCGGAAACACAATACTCCTGTCTCCTGTGGGTTGCACAGGAGAAACCACAGTCACTGAAACGCATGCATGCAACCTTCTCTTCTGCACACACATCAGAAGACCAAGACACATCTTGTGCTGTCTGTATGATCAGTAACATTAAAGGGGAGGTTCAGGATCTAAATATAACACTACTGTCTAGGAAAACAATTGACTGCTACATTTGCTTTGTTCCTTTTGGAATTTAAAGATCAGGTCGCTCACTCTCAGAGTTTACATTAGGGGTTAGGTTAAAAAGTATGTTACATTAGATAGAGAATGGTCTAATTTTATCCTCTTTGAAATATGCAATTATTTTACAGAAGTTTAGCAAAACACCCTCTGGGAATGATTTAATATACTGAGAAGAGTGATTCTTAGATGCCACTGCCCTTGACAGGGCATTGACTAGATTCTAATTGGTCCAGGCAGGATGCTGGGGCACTATGATCAGAAGGAACAGCACATTCAGCCCCATCGTGGCAGTTTGAGATGTAAAAACAAAATGAATTTCCTTCCTTACAGCATCATACAGTATTTAAAAAAATCACAGTGACATATCAGGATACAATCAGTGATGGTACATGATTTTATCATTGAAACAGGGTCAGACAAGTTCATAAACTAGCACGGGACAGAGGTGGAATTGCCTCCTTAGGACCATTTGCATTTCCATCCCAGGATATACTGCACTGCCTGTCTTACACAGCTCTGCACCATTCTTTGGTTCTCCCTCCATGTACACCAGCTGCCCAAAATCAATATACTGCTCGAGGAGCATTAACTCTACTGCAGGATTAGAGTGGGAACCCTCCCATAGACCAGAGTGCTGATAAAATAGGTCTGGCCCTGAACTAGCCTGCAGCAGATGGACACACATGGACAAAGGAGGGAACAATGAGGTCCCACCAGAGCTCACTCACAATGAACATCACACCAACAGCCCTCAGAGACTGGGAAAAGAAAAGCTCACGCTCCCTCCACTGCTCACTCACTCCAATTTATCTCCTTTATCTGACTACCAGTCTATTCCTCCATCACTCCCTCATCTTTCCCCCAGACTCTGTCCTCCCCTCGCTGTTGGCTAGTTGGTGTGGATGTCTTGTAGAGACTGCTCTATTAGATTATGGGCCTGAGGGAAGCTTTGTTCAGATTGTCAATGTGTGGGGTTGGCAACAGGGGCCAGAGGAGGAGTAATGGAAAAAGACAGCAGTGGACAGACACTGACTACAGCACTAGATCCTGTCTTTGTATCTCTAATCTAATTTTCAATCCATTATTAGCCTGCACTATTTATTTAGACTGATTTACCTTCTGAATGTGTGCACCCATGTGTGTCAGTCTAAATGTCAACACCTAGCCTAATTTCTCCTTCCTCCCACTTCCTGCTCTTGGTCTTTACTTCACCATCACCATCCACCCGACAACCATATCCTGCTACGCACGTTACTGTAGCTATGGGAACTATTTTTAGCTCTCATTCATATTTGGCCCGCAGGATTAAGTTTATGATTAGGATTATGTCCCACCAGGAGGAGGCCCTGGGGAAGACCCAGGACACGCTGGAGGGACTATGTCTCTCGGCTGGCCTTTCCCCTGGAGGAGCTGGAGGAAGTGTCTGGAGAGAGGGAAGTCTGGGCATCTTTGCTTAGACTGCTGCCCCTGCGACCCGGTCCCGGATAAGCGGAGGAAAATGGATGGATGGATGGATGGATGGATTAAGTTTGCGCTGATGACTTTAGCGTGGGAGCACAAGTCATTAAGTCCAACAAATACAGGCTGTGCTGCGCACACACTGCTTCCAGCAAAGTGTATTACACATGTGTATGGTATGATTCATATGTGCAATGTAGAACGTGCACTCGCACACAGACACATCTGGTGATGATTCATAAGAGCTAAGGCATTATTCTAGTCACAGCAGATGATGTCAAATTAAATAGCATTTTATTCAGTTACATAGACAAATGATTAATGATTTTCCTTTATATGTTTTGCTTGGAAACAACATTTTTTACGAGAAAAACAAAGTGAAAATTCTAGTGAATCACCTGAGTTTGTACTTGCTGTGCTATTTGGTGCATCTGTTCCCGCAATCATCATGCAGGTCAAAGAAGTGATACTCTCCCCTCACAGGCAGTTTCTTTTACTCTGAAGGCTCAGCAGGCGACAGTATCGTATTCTGTATGTACTCAGAGTGTTGTCTGATCTCCCCCTCACCTCGCCACTGTGCGACTCAAAAACTCTTGGGAAATAAAAAGAACATAGCCAAAATTAAATAATCTTGCTGCTCAACTGGCTATTTGTGCAGATGGATCAATACGAAATGAGACTTAACACAATTGCTCTCGTATCCGTTTTCAGCACTCGAGAGGCGTCTGCTCTACAAATGCAGGAAGCAGAAGCCACAGGAAAAAGGCTAGTTCGTCATGGGAGGTGGTGGGGTGGGGGCGATATTGTGCACGGTGGGTATGCTTGTTTGCCATTGAACTTTGGTATATTCACTTTTTTGCTTTATATGTACGTGTGTGAGTTTGTGCCTGTGGGAAGACTAAAGCAGAACTGCAAATGTGCTTTTGCATGGCATGTAAATGTGTGTCCATATATAGAAGCGCAGAGACCAAACCTGAAAGAACGATAATGCATGCAGCTGAAAAAGAGAAAGGAAAGATGCCATCAAGGGGCAATTCAAGTTCTTAGGATTCTTCTCAGGCTTTTGATTTGACTAAATAGAGTCATCTTCTCACAGCTTGGCTCAGCGAGCAAAAATGCATGTTAAGTGTTCCTCGTACAAGCTTGGTCACCACACTGCTTTTGCATGGGAGATGTTCATTTGGGCTCACTTGCAACAGGAACTAATTTTATTTTGAGGACATCAGTGCTTCCCTTGAAAGGGACCTCAAATCTTAATTAGAGCTCTTTCAGAGTTGTGTTTGGAGTAAGATTCCTTAGGTATAAAGAATAGTATTTTGAGCACTGACAGACTCCATTTAAGTGATTGTAAATAACAAGTAACACTAACAGCTGCCTTTTCAAATGGAAATGTATCTTTATAGAAGTCATCAACAGCCAATTCAAATCACTTCAGATTCAGTCCACAATGTACTTCACATATCAAGTGCAGCCATAGTCTGTGCCCATGGAGAGAAGGTGATGTCTGAAGCTCTGATGGACAAATGGATGGATGAACGGATGCGAGCACCAGTGGACTTGCTGGTCAGTTTGCCTTTAATGCTGTCCAAATGTCTGGGACTACAGCCAGTGTTTGTGTGCACACTGTATGGTCCTCTGGGGGTGTGTAGAAAGGCAGAGTGAGACACAGAACGACAGAGTGAGTAAGATGGCCAGTGAAATGCAGGATGTGCATGAGGTAAATGTTATGGTTCTTATGCCAAGGTGTGAAAACTGCTCACTATTTGAATGACTGTTGAATTTGTCAACAGAAACTGTCTGTGGCAGTCTTTAGGCATGGCTGGACTAATACTCCTCATAAGTTCAAATTATTTTTCTGTATTTAGATTAATGCTCAAACAACCCACCCATGATCTCATTATAGCTGTTTCATACACTTTACATCACACTGGCTCGTCAAACAGATCAAACATTCGATATCAGATATAAAACCCCCCTTGTTCTACCTGTCACTTTAAATTAGCTGTCTGGTCTTTAGATGCATTTGCTTTCTGTTTGCCTATAAAGGCCTAATATTTTATTCTGAGACAGCAGTGCACAGCCTGAACACCAAGAGGCAGGCTTGACAGTATAGACAGCCGCTGCCTCCTCTTAAGCCCTGCTCACTCAGCCGTGGTATTTTTAGATACTGTCTGCCCCTCTCTCTCTCTCTCTCTCTCTCTCTCTCTCTCTCCAGTGCTCAGGTTTCCGCCAAAGGTGGACCAGATGCTCTTAAATAACACAATCAGTTCTTTCTCTGTTTTACTGCAATTACTTGCAAATATGCAGGATACAGAAAACTGTGTATTCCAGGGGGATTTAAATATCTCCATTGTGTATATAAATGAAACATCAGTGTCTAGGTACATTATAAAGTCAATTTTGTGGCAGAAAAGTAACTTAAATGTGTATTTTCTAGAATGAACCATTCAGTCATTTATCTGTATCTGTATTTACCTGTCTCCATGAGTATTATCTTGGAGTGATTTTGGCAACTAATATGACTCTAAGAGGCGCTGCAGCTCACTAACACACAAACATGCACACAGGAGTGCCTTTTTTGCTGTTCTTGTACATTGCTAGCACATTTTAAATGTTTACTGTTGCTTTGGAAATACTCTAAGTTAGGCTGCAGCATCCAGCTGTGCTGCTGAGGTTACAAGGTTGACTGCACTGTGTGTGCTACTTGTAATGTGGGAGTTTCACTGTTTTAACCACACACTGTTCTTCTCATGTCTTCACCTGAGGGGAATTTATGTGGTTTGTGGATTTTTTAAAACTTATTTTATCTACTTTACTCTATATTTTACCATCAGATTCAGTATTTTGATATTTTAAAAGTTAGAGACACATTTACTGTACAAACGGGTGAGAAATTAAAGGCATAACCAAAACCAACAACCAAGTTGTTGGTCCACAACAGCTTCACTGCACCTTCTTTTGGAACTTTGCTGGAGGGATGAGCACCATTCTTCCCAAAGATATGGTGGTGGAGACGCCGTCTAACACGTCACTCCAAAATCTCCAATAGGTTTAACAGGGTTGAGATCTGGTGACTGTGAAGGCCATAGCATCTGATTCACATCATTTTCATACCCATCAACCCATTCAGTGACCTCTTGTGCCCTGTGGATAAAGGCACTGTCACCCTGAAAGGGACCACTCCCATAATAATAGAAATGTTTTATCATACAATAGAGGTGATCACTCAAAACAACCTTGCATTGATTTGTGCTAATCATTCTCTCAAAGAAGACAGGCTGATCCAAACCATGCCAGCATCTGCATTTGTTGTGTTTTTGCACTCATTCAGGTTTTTTTCCTTTAATTTGTCACCCGTCTGTACCACACAATGAACATGATTTGGAACAGGAAATATGCAGGTGCTCTATATTGACATATCAGAATTTGTTATGTAGATAAACTATGCAAATACTTACAGTATACTTGTTTTGAGTTTTATAGGCATTGACAGTATAACCACAAACCATGAAATAAAATCATTTAATGGTTCACTATTACAGATAAACTATCAATACAACTACTTTGCACTTATTTTGTCAGTTATTGCACAGAAGTCTTTTTTCCAGTTGTCACCTTTCCCATATTAAAAGACAAGTCTCTAGCAGGGAGATCTCATAAAATCTATAGTGAATTTGTCTCCACTAATGTGGCAATGTAGTGGTGTACTAGCACAATGTTTTACTTTATGTGCCAAGCATTCACAGCTGACAGGCATGCAGAAACCAGTTTTCACTGGTTAGCAATCAAGAATGTTTTCAGTGATGCCACAGTCCATAATGCAGATCTAACGAGGGACTTGACTGACAGGACATACAATCAAATACTGAGAATACTGCAATAGCATACAGTACAATAACATTAATATAACATTGCCGTGACTTCTGCTGGTCTATGTGAGTGATCACAATATATTTGAGTCATACACAAACTGGACTACATTATATTCAGAGGTGTTCTGTCACGTCAGCAGCCAGCACCTCTGCACCCTCACGGGCTGGTATGTGCACTCAGCGACAAGGTACACCCCGCACACCTGCACTCAATATTCCTGGCGATATCTAAGTGGAGTGCTGACATGACCTCGTCGCCAGATAGTCTTTTGACACTGTCCAGGCTACCTCGCTGCTTCTGGATTTCCTGAAGTTCTATAACCAACTTTGTTCTTGTGATTCACAGAAAGTCCTGTGTTGTGTCCAGACTGATTTGTCTCTAGTGCACTAGGCTGTTTGTTTTTGGTGCACCTGCTTTATTTGTTTTGTCATTCAGCTGTGCTAACTTGTCAGCGGGGAGACTGAATTCCCCCAAGCTCAGACTGTCACTATGGGGTTCTTCTGGTTCCCATGACCCAGTCTCCCAGCACTACTCTCGACTCCCTCGGAGCCATCCCCCCGTATTCTGTGAGTGTTGCTTTGTTCCCTTACCTACCAGGCGGCTGACTGCATGCTGTGTCAACCCTCTATACCCCGACCCACTACGAGCTACTACCGGAGCCACTGCTGCCATCATCCATCTCTCCCCAGCAAGCCTCACCCCGGTGTTCTGTCCAGTCCAGCACTTCACTGCGCTGGAGACTGGCTCTGAGGACTGTCCAGTAGCCCAGGTTTTTTCACCACTACCCATACACCTACACTGACTCTCTGTGTTGCTGATCCCCTTTAACCTCTCCCCCTCTGCTTCTTGCATATTGTAGGTACCATGCTCTTCTCCAGCCCTGGGTTGCCCCTTACCAGCGGTCCAACCGATGTTAGCGGTAATCACCTGCAGGCCTGCTGAGTGTGTGCATGTGTGACCTCCTCAGTTATCATTTATTCTTGATTAAAATACCTTGTATCTAGATCTTGAGTCTGAGTTCTACATTTTCTGGGTCCCTTCTGCGTTGTTCAGACGGTACACTGTAACAATATTCTGACCTTCTCATAGTGTATATGCAGCTGGGGAAAACAAATATAGATGCCCCTCAATAATAAACACATAATTTATACATTTATGACAATTTCACCCAAAACAGAACCATTCTGAGCTTCATAAACAGATGTTAGTGTTGCACTGAGTTCCATACAATTGTACAGGTGTACCTAATAAAGTGGTCACTGAGTATCTTTTCTGCAATTGTGATGCATTAGAAACAGAGAGTGGTGATTATTTAGTTAGACTAACACTCTTTGCTTGAAGCTGTGTTTTGCGTTTATTTGAGAAAAGAGTAACATGAGTTTGTTAAATATTTGTTTGTTCTACATGATTCCTGACTGCACACATCAACCTTTCTCTCCCTTTCGCTGTCGATAACCACGATCCAACTTGAGTGGGAGGCAAAGCCCACGTTAAAACAGTTTTGCTAACTATACATGTAACCAGGCAACTGCACACATCAACATGTAAGGCTAAGCTCAGTAGGGCTCCTTGCTTCCTGCTAAGTCATTCACAGTCCAAACGCCACCAGAGGAGAGAGAATTTTTCATTGTACATTACAGTTGATCTTTTAACAGATCCCATGCAAAAGGAAAAGGCCCATTACACAGACCCGAGTGAGCTAATCAGTTCCTTCTGACT